GTACTGAACAGAGCTTTGAGTGTCCGAAGTATTTATTCCGTTGTGTTGGCAATATATTGTTGTGACGACGCCATTTGCAAATTTGAAGATGTTGAGCGTTGCCTTTTTCTGTAAGTACACCACAAATATCTTCGATAATGACGGTAATGGTTACTAAATTGTACTAATAATGTTAACTAGCTACCCGTCCCGGCTTCGCGCGAGACTATACTAAACATACTACAGAATGTCTGTTATGTTATACATGTAAACATTTCTCTTGGATCAATCTAGATAATTAAAAACTACATCAAAATCCGTTACGTATGTTTAAACATCCAAGTCTACATAATAGGCTAAGATCCAAAGCGTTTTTCCTTCCCCAATTATTACGTATTGCAGGTTCTAACAGGAAATCTGATTATGGAAGGAAAAACGCTTTGGATCTTAGCCTATTAAGAAGACTTCGATCTTTAAATATAAGCAACGGAATTTGATGCAGTATTGTAACTGTTCTCTTTCACGTAATGTAGGTTTTAACAGGAAATCAGATTAGGGAAGTGTTGTATCCCTAACTATAAGGACAGACAGACAGCAGGAAGCGATTTTGTATTATTTTATGTAGTGATGCGAAAGTTATTACCAGGTATCTCCAGAACGACGAAACAGATCTATATAAATTTTAACATAATGTAATTATATGTAAAACACAGTCTGGAAGAACACAAAAACCACATTTATTACTGGAATTATGTACGGTTATCTTGTAAATACTAGATAATCCTCAACTGCAACAAATTTCGTTGAAATTTTAAAAACTCTAATAACATATGGGTACTTTTTACCCTTTAAATCAGCGCAGAGGAAGTCGTCGACTAAAGCTAGTTTCACACAATAGTCTTATAAAAAAATCCAGTTAATAATTTCTAAACGTATAATTAATATTTGGGCGTTTTCTGAGCAGTTAACTATATTTGGACTTAGCCCTTGCTTATGGTTACGTTTACCTGAAACTCTGAAACCTTTCATATATCGTCCTTAATTATTCTGCACATTCCTATAGAATACGCATGTGTATACGCAAATGACTGTATTTTTATTAGACTAGCTTTTTTTTATATTTCCGCCCCAATCCAACCAGAATTATTTACACCATAGACAATCTGCAACTTTTTTTAGTTAAACTTGTTGCAATCTATTTTATACTAAAAAGTAACATGAGTTAAAATTCGAGTTTATACGTTATAATTTATTTGTTTGATTGGAACGAAATATAACAGGGGCTTAAGGTGGCTGAGCGCTTATATTTACCTAAAGTGTAAAATAACTAAGTTGGTAGGTTTTCTCGAGAAGCTTTGCTTATTAGCGAATTACTTGCATGTGGGTGAATAAAAACAATATACATGTGAATTATTTAATTGTGATTTGTTGTCAATAAAAACGAATTAAGAGCGTGCGCACGCCTGAAAATAAACTATCGCGCTTTGTTTTGTTTCGCTTTGATATGACCTACGTAAGACCTTGATATTCGATTTTGAGTTGTGCGACTAAACAGTTGAATTGGTTTCGAAACAATCGACAATCAAAGGCGTGCACCCGTTCTTACTGATTTACATTTTTCTAACATTTGTAATACCAAAATGGCGCTCGTAATGCTAATGGGAAAATAACCCCACCCTTTGAGGAGGAGTAATGGATGCACTTTAAGAATTGGGAGGTGCAAGTGCAGTTGACGGTCTCGGGGGCGTACCTTATCGTTCAATAGAAAGAGCAACTGTTCTGTCGCTTAAAACAGTTTCCCTCTTTAAACAAAAAGGTGTATCGTTTTAAATTATAATCATAAACCCCTTTGTCTCAGAAAAATAAAAAACACAGGTGTTCGCAAAATACGAAACTTTTACACGCGGACGCGGAATAATTGCTGATTTTTTAAAGTTATTATAAAATGATAATTTTGTTTGCCGGCAACGTTTGCAATTGTTTTGAATTGGTATTGTAATTTGAGTTTTTGAGCGGACAACTCAGTATAGTTTCGTAGGTGTCATGGCGGCGGTCAAATGACGGCAGTTGTCATTAGATGGTCGAGTGATGCGTTTTGATTGTGCATTGGTTAATCTCTGTAAATCTCTGCAATCCAGTTAAATAGTGTTGTGCAGTTTTCACTATAAATTGAAGGTCTTTGTTACTAATATTAACCAGTCATTATTTTATTCCATCTGACATATGTACGTCTAAAATGAAGGACAAAAGTTGCCGTGGCAATGATCTAACTTTGGAATCAACAACTACACTCCGCTCGTCAGTTCTACGTGATTTATGTAAAGTAGTGAATTTAAATAATCCTTAGGGGACGGAAAATGGGTGGGGGAAGAAATCTTAAAGAATAGCTTCGAAATGGTTTATGTATCAGAGTATTGAAGACACGAAAGATATCTCTCGTATTTAGAAAATGAAAAGTGAACCTACGCAAAGGGGAAAAAAATAATTTTATTCAACAAGTTGTCAAAGAAACAAACACCAACCAAAGTTTAATTTGATAAAAACTAAAAAAAAGCTTAAGATATATAGAGATAGCGGTCCGGTCTTGATAATGCGAAATTTATAAAAAAGTAGCCTATAATATGCCCGTCCATGTCAGCTACCCTTCAGTGAAAGTCCGGTCGAAAAAACCGATCAAACGCGGCTTGCGGACAGACAGACGGACAGACAAAAAAAATGCGATTTTCGTTATCAGCAACGCAAATACATCTTCCCGAAATCTGGAATTTTTCCTTTGCTATTACAAACAAAAACTCCAATTTTATTAC